TTTTTCTAATGTGGCCCCCAGAAAATGTAAAATTACCTATGTAGCTCCCATTACATTTCTATTGTATAGTTTTAATCTACAATATATAAAAAGTTCCCACAAAGATAAGCCAACAGAAAACTAGACAAAGGATGTGAATAAAAAGATCACTGAGAATTATATGTGATCAGTTAGCACTCATTCATGCATACACTCATCCGGCTGGTCTCCTCCGGGGTTCCAAGGCTCCGTGTGAGTCACCAGGGGAAGCTGGCTGGACAGGGCCTCTTTGATGAGGTGACAGCCAAGCCAGGACCCCAAGGATGCAAAGATGCTCAAACACACCACTAAGTAAAGGCAGAGGTTCGTTTCCATCGGTCAGAAGGGGGCTATCTGGACTGGTAATATGCAGTGTTGGCCAGGAAGTGGGGGAAAGTGCACTTAAATACCATTAGTGGGAGTAGAGATTTGTGCAACACTTTGGCAAGGTAATTTGGCTCCTCTCCAGACGAAAATCCAGAAACACTTTGACGATGCGATCCCATTTCTAGGAACCCACGCTAAGGACAGTCTCAGCTGCATGCAAAAAAACTATGACTAAGAATGCTTGCTGATGCCTATTGTGTAATTGCAACCAACTCTAAGTAACATTATTTTACATCAGGAAAAGAAAAAGCAAACAGACATGAGGCAGATCTGGAAGCACTGGCCTAGCAGGTTGCCCACTCTTTATCTAGTGGAACGAAGCAAGCGCAGCAAGGTCATGTGATACTGCTCATAGCTTTTAACCAAAGGAAAAAAATGGAAATTTTGTGTGTCTGGACATGTACACACACACACACACACACACACCTTACTAGACTAGCTACAGGACTTCGGGCAAACTGTTTTTCTTTTTATTATGATCATTTTTATTTTATTTGGAAGCCAGAGAGACAGAGAGAGAGAGATCTTCCATCCACTGGTTCACTCCCCAAGTACCTGCACCAACCTCAGCTGGACGAGGCCAAAGCCAGGAACTCAGAACTCCATCCAGGTCTCCCATGTTGGGGACAAAGACCCAAGGACTTGAGCCATGACCTGCTGCCTCCCAGGGTGTACTTTAGCAGGAAGCTGGATTGGAAGCAGAGCAGTTGGACTCAAAGCGGACATTCTGATACGGGTACAGGTGTCTCAGATGACAACTTCTGTGCCGAATGCCCGCCCCTAGGTAAAATGCTTTCACTTCCTTGTGCCTCAGTTTCTGCATCAGCAAAATGGAAACAATGAAACATCTACTCCACAGGGCTGTCTTGAGGACAAATGAGATGACCTTCGAGAAGTACTTAGCATAGTACCTGACACACAGTACACGTCATGTGTCATCACTGCCATTTCATCAAAGAAAGATTCAGGAGCCAACCACTTACGACATTGCAAAACGAGGTTTTACCTAGAAAAACAAATGCCAGGGAGTCCAACTTCAAAAGGACCAGCTAGCAAACTCAAAAGCATAACTCGAGTATTTAAAGGAAACAAAAGCCAAGTTGCCAAGGTTACCAAGTTTTATATTAGTCTGCTCATGGTGAAAACACAAAGGTATGGAGAGAGAGAGAGAGAGAGAGAGAGATTGAGATTTCAATATCCACTGGGAAGTCCTGTTTGTTTAAACATCGGCATTGCAAATACCAAGCTGAAGCTGCCTTTGTTGAGATTCGGGGGCAATTCTGACGGTTCTGATGTCTGAGAGCGACTGACTTCGTTACTCTTGGTTTATCTCGGGGAGCAAATTGCTGTTTCTTCCTCTGACGGTGACACCTAATGTGCTTAGTCATAATGGAGGCAGGAGAAAGAAACCGCCATCCTATCACATCATCCGTGGAAAAAGAAAGTCGCGAAGCAATCGCGTGGAACTGCTAACAGGGGTCATCTCTGGGAAATACACTCAGGGTAGGGGCTTCGCTCTCCGTGCTTCTGCAGTGTTTGAACGTCTTACGTGTTCACAGATCGCATTAGCAATTTGTAAAAGAACAAATAAGGTGATATACACTGTGAAAGATCTAAAGACATCTCATTTCTTTCTACTTCTTCCACACCAGATGGGATCGTTTGCATTCTCAGCTCTTTGGGGAAAGATTGATAAGCCGTGCGTTTTCCCTAAAATCCATTTCCACCACTTCAGTCTGTCGCATCTGCCAAGAGATCCTTAGTATGGAATCCCAACTGGAAAAGGGGAAGGAATTGGAGCCAGCATATTGGAAGGGGGAAGAATTTCATCCACATTATTGTTACTTCTGCGCCCTGAAGCCCAAGACCCACCAGCCAGTGAAATCCATCAAAATGAAATCCGAGTGTCTGGAGTTCTGTTGCGCTCAGCCCTCCCCGCCCCCGCGTCCTCACATCTTCCCACATTAATCCTTCTATAAGAACCTCCCTCTTTGTCTCTCCGTTTCTTTCTTCAATTACACACACACAAGGTGGGGAATGCTGACAGGTGCTATAGCAAAGGATGAAGCTTGAAGGCACCATGCTCAGTGAGAGAAGCCAGGTAGGAGAGGGCAGCTGCCGTGAATCCTCTCCTACAGGGACCTAGAGTCCAGTGGTGGCTGCCGTTGGGATGAGGGGCTCGTGTTTAACAGGTACAGGGTTGCCACCTGGAAAGGTGAGAAAGTTCTGGAAACAATGGCAGTGTGTTTCATGCCACTGAGCTGCACCCTGAGAAATGGCTGAAATGGTAGCTTTTATGCATATCTTACCATAATGGAAAAAATGGCACACCAAAGTGTGATATCCATACCAGTTAGAACAGTCTCGCCAGGACAGGGCCCAGAAACATGTAATTTTTTTATTTGCAAAACGGTGACAAGGAGAGAAAGCAAAAGAGAGAGAAAGAGAATCTTCCATCCACTGGTTCACTCCCCAAATACCCACAACAACCAGAGGCGAGCCAGGCTGAAGCCAGGAGCCAGTAACTCCACCCAGGTCTCCCACGTGGGTGGCAGGGACCCAAGTACTTGAGCTAACACCAACTGCCTCCCAGGCGCATTAGCAGGAAGCTGGATCAGGAGCAGAGTGGGGAATTGAACCCAGGTACTCTGACATGGGACGCAGGAGCCCCAACCAGGGTCTCATCACTGAGCCAACATCCACGTCTGTAATTTGTTTAACTACCCAGGCGGCTCTCAGGGGTACGCAGGGTGGAGAACTCCAGAATTTGGGACTTGGAATTCTGGACCTCAACTTGCTGGACACGGCTGATGCTGCAGCAGGTCCTCACTCTCTCCTCACACGAAAAGCCTAAAAGCAAAGCTTGCTTCATTGCAGGGGGCCCCAGCCTGCTGCTGACCAAGCTGGCCCAGATCCAGGAGTTTCTGGAAGCAGAAAGCTCCCCTGGATCGTAATGGCCTGCCTGTGTGCAATCCCCCTAGCAGTGCAGGAAGAGGACAACTCCTACGGAAGTGCCATGATTTCCGAATCGAGAAGGCAGAGTCCCATGGAAGCCTCTCCATATCTAAGGTTTGCAGACATATTCCCCGCCCTTGGGTTGCAGCGCGACTTCTGGGCGATGCCAGCCGCAGCATGAGATGGTGGGCCTATTCTGAGAGAGCAAGACAGCATCTCTCCTACAGCCGGGCTGCAAGGACTTTCTGGACGCACCAGGCAAGGTCCCAGGGAGCCCCACTCTGCCCTCTGGGAGCTCACATCGACAGGGAAACATAGGCACCCACCCACTTTCTCGAACTCCTACAAGGTACCAGACACCACTCAAAGGGCTAGCAGCAACGAGGAAGCTTAACGAGACTGCCATGTGCAGAGTCAGGAAGGAGGCTCTGCTGAACTTGACCATAACCCTCCAAGTGCTGGATCATGGGGGACCTGGGGCAACTCAGCGAAGGGTCCCGCACAGCTGGGACACGGGGCAAAGGAGCACAAGCCTCAGAATAGCTGTTATTTATCAGCCAGCACAGAAGCATTTTAACAGCTGAGAAAGTCGTATCAATAGGTACCCACCGAGTGACAGCCTTGGTTTGCAGATAAACAGTTCTGCCAAGGTCCCTGACCTTGTGTGCTGACCTAGTAGGCAAATGCTTCTGTACGTGACCAAATGAAAAATGTTTTAGACCTTGCAGGCCCTACAGTCTTTGTCCCCGCTACTCAATTCTGTCACGGTCGCACAAAAGAAGCCTCGGAGAATAGCGAACAAATGACTACGGCCATGCTGCGAGCAAACTGCATTTACCAAAAGCGGCGGCAGGCTGACGCTGGTCCCGGGGACACGGCTTGCAAAGTGCTGTTCCAGTGGACAAGGCAGACAGACCCATCAGTCCGTTCATTCTGCAAATAGTTATCAAGCATCTTCTACTGACAAGCGTCCTAGTGGGCACCGGTGTAGTGATGAGTCAGCTTTCTGTGCCATCATGACACACCTGACGCAGGATACTTACCAACAAAGGATGACTGTTGAGCTCAGTGTTGATGGTTCAAGGGCACAGCATCTGGCTCAGCTCAGCTCTGGTGAGGACCCTCTAGGGCAGAAGCGTGTGCGTGTGCGTGTGTAAGTAGGGGGCTGGATGGGACTGGGCTCAGGACAGCAAAGCCAGGAGGAAGCGACCTTCCACATTTCTAAAGGGCAGAGCCCCCAGTGATCGCCACCATTGCCACACTGGGAACCGAGCTCCCAAAACATGGATCTGTAGGGAATAAACCAAACCCAAACCCTAGCATCTACTATGCTGAATAAGATGGACCATGGTCCCTGCCCGTGTAGCACTTACATTCTAGAGGGAAAGACAAAACCAATCATTTTCATATATGCTAGCAGATGCTTAGATGAATGTAATCAGGAAATACAGTTGGAGGAGTCAAGTCAGGCTTGGAGTTTGGGAAGCCTTCCTGGAGGAGGTGACAACCCTACTGCTTGCCCAGCAAGCTGGCGTGGAGATGAGCAAAGTCACCAGAGACCTCCTATCAGGGCAGTCCAACAACGCCCGTGACTTCCTTTGGATTGCCTGTCATCACCCTCTCTTCCCTTGTGTCCCCAGTCCCAGAACAGCTACAACGAAGGCGACTTGGAAGGAGCCAGGCGGCTTGGGCGGAATGCCAAGTGGGTGGCCATCGCCTCCATCGTCATCGGCCTTCTCATCATCGGCATTTCTTGCGCAGTTCACTTCACGAGGAAGTAAGTAGCCGCTCTGAATCCCTCGCGGTGTCAAAGGCCTTGGGCTCTGCTAGGAAGCTTAGGTTGTGTTCCAGAAGCTTAGGCTATGTCCCAGCAACAACGCACCCTGCTCCTCATGTTTTCTTTACCGGAGTCGCCTGGACTGGTGGAAGGTTTCTCCTCCAGAAAGTCCCAGGGGCCCAGGCCACCCGAAGCTCCACCACCTTGCACCTGGTCTGTCTAGAGCACAGGTCAGCAAGGTTCTCTATAAAGGGCCAGCTGGTCAATATTTTAGGCCTTGCAGGCCATCCAGTCTCTGTAACAACTATCTAGCCCTGCATTTTAGTACCAAAGTAGCCTTCAGTGATATCTAAATGAGCAGACGTGGCTATGTTTCTTTTTTTTCTTTTTTCTTGACAGGCAGAGTTAGACAGTGAGAGAGACAGACAGAGTGAAAAGTCTTCCTTCTGTTGGTTCACCCCCCAAGTGGCCACTACGGTCAGCATGCTGCGCCGATCCGAAGCCAGGAGCCAGGTGCTTCCTCCTGGTCTCCATGCGGGTGCAGGGCCCAAGGACCTGGGCCATCCTCCCCTGCCTTCCCGGGCCACAGCAGAGAGCTGGACTGGAAGAGGAGCAACCGGGACAGAACCGGCGCCCCAACCGGGACTAAAACCCGGAGTTCAGGCGCCGCAGGTGGAGGATTATCCAAGTGAGCCGCGGCACCGGCCTGCTGTGTTTCAATACAATTTTATTTTCCAAAAACAGATATCTTGTCTGGGGATTGTAGTTTACCAAGCTCTGATCTAAAACAGGGCGTGTCCCCAGGCTAAGGCAGAGAATTCCACGTGGGATTTTTTTTTTTTTTTTGTAAGCGTTTTAACACGTTTATTTATTTGAGAGGCAGAGACAACGATCTCTCATCTGCTAGTTCAGTTCCCAAATGCCCTTACCAGCTGGGGCTGTGCTAGGCTGGCGCCCAGAGCCGGGAACTCCATCCAGGTCTCTCACAGGGGTGGTAGAGACCCGAGTACCTGAGGCATCACTGTTGCCTCCTGGGGTGCACATTCGCAGGAAGCTGGAATCAGAAGTGGAGCCAGGGCTCAAACCCAAGCACTCTGCTGTGAGGACACAGGCATCCCAAGTGGCAACGTAACTGCTGTGCCAGACACCCATTCCCCCAACACGGGCTTTTCACAGCCTCAGCCCAGGGCTGACAAATGTCACTTAGGCACACAATTGACTAAAACCTGTCACATGGTCCCCCCTAACTGTAAGAGAGTGGGAAATGCAGAGGAGTAAATGGGGGTGCTAAAAATTATTCCTTGCTCTGCCTTACCACATGACCTGCTAAGTGATTTCCCTCATGAGTTCCCATAAACTGGCCTCGTTGTCCCTAGTTGAAGAGCAGGGGTCTCCCGTGTTTTTGGTATTGCCAATGACCTCTCCTCCCACAGAGATAGATGCTGTGGATGCTTCCTTCTGGGTCTGGACAGATTTATCCAGGCTTCTCCAACCAGCTGAGAGGGATTCCTTCTGCTGGAATCAATGGCTCTTTCCATCAGGGGGCGACAGATAGCATGGTGACGTGATGGCCAGCCCAGCCCCGGAAATGACAAACCCACATCCGTCTCTGTTTTGCCGTGGGATCAGGACCCTGAGAAATCCCCTAGCTTTCTGATAGGGCAGGCTCCCGCTGCACTGAGAAGCTCAACCTCTCTGGCTTAGCTGATCAAAGAGAGCGAGGTGAGGCAGGAAGCAGACATCCTTTGGCCTTGCCACGCGGCCAACCCAACCTTGGCAGCCGAGAGAGAGCAGCAGATGCGACATCGGATCAACTTCCTTTCAGACAAGCCAGGCACGGAAGCAATCGGCAGTGTTTGGATGCAAGGGGAGACATCAAAACAGGAAGTGTCACAGAGGAAAAATAGGTGTCTTAGTCCAGATTAGGGGGGAACAAGGCCACTTCACATTTCTTGCTTTGATGACATTAGTGATGATATCCGTATCATTGAAATGATCGAAATTTGATGACATTGACTTGTGGAGGGAAAGACAGTTGGCAAATAGACGAGAACACTTTACGTAAACGAGACGCAATGCACCTGCGTGTGTGTGTGCACGTGGAACCATGGAGTATGCAACGAACGTTGCGGGTTTGGCACCAGAGTGCTCAGGCCCAGGTGTCTCTGCCACCAGGGGCTCGCCGTGAGATCTGCAGCTAGGTGTGTAACCTCCCCCAACCTCAGTTTCTTCAGCTGTAAAATGGAGCGTGAAAGATCCATTCCCTACAGGTGTATTAGGTGGCCCCTGGAATGCGCGTAGTGTGGCATCTCTTCCTTAGCCTGGTGCACAAAAAGACCTAAAAGCATTTATTAATTCTCTTGTTGTTGTATTATCAACAGGACTGAGAAAGGACCTCAGGGCTTAAGATGCCATTAAATCAAGTTCAAGGCTTTGTACTCATGAGCCAAGCTCCAAAGACAGTGTTCCAAAGGAATAAGGCCAAGTCTTAACTTGGCTTACCTCCTAGGAACTTGTGAAAATACATACTGCCCAGATCAGTGTTGGAGCAAAGTGGGTTTAATAATAGCAGCTGACACTGACGTAGACCTTGCCGTGTGGCAGGCGCCATTCAAGCCTGCATGATCCTCCTCGAATCCTCACAGCAACTCAGACAAGCAGGTGTTGTTACCCCCATTTTGCAGTTGAGGAGTCTGAGGCACAGAGCGGCAGGGTGATTTGTCTAGGGTCTCATGGCTAGTCAATAGTGAAGGCGGGGTTCAAGTTCAGGTTAATGAGGTTCTTCAAGCTTAACCACTACCCCACACTACCGTCGTCTAAGTCAATGTCTCCCTTCTAGTATGCCCGTGTCTTAAAGCTAACTCCAGGACTTGCTTATGTAGGGCTGGTGTGATGAGCCAGGACCAAGGGTCACCAAGTCCAAGGACGCCAGGGAACAGCCACAAACAAAGAGAACAGAGGGGACTGTGGTGAATTCCAGAGCACAGCTGAAAGGGGGCAGCCACCACCCTGCTGCAGTTTCGCCTACCGAGCAGGGAGGCCCCATGGGGCCCATTTTTCAAGAGCGGTTTAAAACCTAGGATTCTATGCAGAATGTCCTGATTTGTAGAAGGTGACAACCAGTTCACATTTTTAGAATGCATGGGGAAAACCAAAACCAAAACAAACACCAAAGCCATGCTTGTAGCCGGGACGATGCCTACCTGTGGGTTCCCAGCGGGAGCCTTCAAAGATCAGTTACCCAGGAGACATCATCCAGGAAGTTGTAAGGACTTGGTATTTGGGCTCTTTCTCCAATCTGTGCAGTGTTGATGTGAATATGCTTGTGACTGAAGCTTTCGTAGCAAGATTAAAGGTGTGAGAGTGTCCCCTCTCCACCCCTCCCTCCTAAGGGGCAGTGCTCCACAATGGTTAGAGCTGGATTTTGGCATCCGTTTTACCAGGACACAAAACCTACTTAGTTCTACCACATAGACCAGCTTGGCAACTTATTCAGCTCTCTGTGGCTCAACTTCCCTATCCGTAAAATAAGCGTAGAATTATTATCCTCACCTGTAAGGTCGGTGTAGTTGTACCTACATTTCCCTCCATCCTCCATGTTGGCAAAGAAAACAAGAGTTCTCTAGAATTAGAAACTCAGATGGAAAGGCAAGGCTTTGTTGTGTGTGTGTGTGTGTGTGTGTGTGTGGAGAGAGAGAGAGACAGACAGACAGACAGACATAGAAGGAAGAGAGGCAGGGAGGAAGGGAGGAACTTGCCCACAGAGAATGAAATGAACTTTCTTCCATGAAGACAAGTACTATGGCCGAGTGTTCCTTAAAAATCAAATGCCCCAGCCCCAGTTTACAGAAGGGATTACATGGCAATGTGCAACTACTAAGGCAGAAGCTTCTGAATTTTAGGCTGCGTAAGAGTTATCCGGAGCAATTTCAAGTACGTCAGCCTCCAAGCCCCATCTCAAAAGATTCCACCTCACTGACCCAGAAGTAAGGCCCAGGACGCTGCCAGTTTCACCTTCCTGCTGCCCCCTGGGGACTCAGATCAGGTGGTCAGCAGACCACTTCGTCACCAAATCCTGGCAGGTTCCCTCCCCCCCTGCACCCCCCCACCCCAAAGTCCAGAAGGAAGAACGCACTGCCAGTGGCCAGTGGCCGTTAACAACGTGGTCAGTTTTCATTTACATCAGCAACCTCCCCATCTTAACTTGTCACGCGGAACAAGGCAGGGAATTATGTTACCGCCCACAGACGGACCAGGAGGCTGTCTGGTAACCGCCTGAGAGGCAGGAAGGGCTTCCACGGAGCAGCTGGAAAAATGTGACTTGAGAGAACGCCGGGCCTGGGGGTGAGACGCAATGCCACCAACATGCGCGACTTCTGAGTTTCAACCAAAAGCACAGTCTGTTTTGGCCAGCTGCCTTTGGAAATTCATGAAGTCGCTGTCTTTCTAGAACCTGCTCTTGATCCCTATCAAGAAAACTGAGCAGTGAGCAGGAACACGGGTTGAAGTCCCGGGTGCTTCACTCCCGTGGAACAGTCTCAGGTCGGGAGACTCTCCACCCAAACTCCTCCAAGAGCCCCTTACAGTCAGCCTTCCCTTACAGAACGGCCACGCAAGCCAGCTGGTAGTTGGGACAAAGAAATACGGAATTTCACGGTGTCCAACTCCTAAGAACTTGGGATCAGAACTGCAATATTCAACAGCTTTAGCAGGAATGCTCCATGGACAGGGGAGAAGCACCATGGTTCAACCCGAATCAGAAACGTGTAGTCTCTCACAGTCAGAAAATTCACTGCTCTCAAGTCACTAAGGAAATGGATCGCCTAGGCAAAACATTTAACTATTGTGGTCTCTGTTTATCAACGCTTATCGTTCAAACCCCTAGCCTAAATCAACACGCCTACAGGCATTATCTGCTGATGCAGGTGGAGGCCAGCCAGGTTAGCGTAGTCCAGTCCTGTTTCTCAGAGTGCAGCCCCCCGGGCTGCCTACCACAGGCAAGGCAGGAATGCTCATAAAAAGGCCGATTCCTGGGCCCCAGCCAAGACCCTGAGTGGCCTCAAAATATGTGTTATCACAAGGATACTCTAAAAAAATAATTCTAGGTTTTATCAAGTTGCAGAACCATTGTGCATTCAATGAAGAACATTATGCTTTTTTAAGTTTATTTGAAAGGCAGAGTGGTGGTGGGGGTGGTGAGTTATACATACATATGAGAGAGAGAATGAATCTATCTTCCCAATGCTGGGTCGCTCCCCAAATAGCTGCAAAAGTTAAAACTGGTCCAGGCCAAAGCCAGGAGCCTGGAGTTCCATCTGGATCTCCCACATGGGTGCAGGGGCCCAGCACTCGGGCCATCGTCTGATGCCTTCCCAGGTTCATTAGCAGGGAGCTGGATAGGAAGTGGAGCAGCCGGGACTTGAACCAGCGCTCTAATGCGGGATGCCAGGGTTGCAGGTGCAGCTGAACCTGCTGCTCCACAACACCAGCCACCCACAGAGCACATTCTTGCTTGCGTGGACACACTTCAAAACAAGACTTCTTTTACACACCTTATATAACAGATAAACAGTTTTTCTTGTCTTACACAGTTGATACAACATATTTCTGCGAGCAGACGTGGGGGTGTCATAGAATTTAACTCAATGCTGACACTGCCTCCCAGAGTTAGAGTCAGATTCCACAAGTTGGGAACTCACGCTGCAAGGCTGTTCCACTTCAGGCACCATTGCAAGCCCCAAGTGGCTTTCCCTGAGCTTCTGAGGTTCCCATGACGTCTTCCTCAGGTTCTCGGGAGGAACCCTAGCCCTAGCTCTGACTTCGCAGAAGTTAGGGAACACTTGCACTTGCCTGCCAGGGATGGAGGACACAGATGGAAAGTCTGGCAGAAGAGATGCCCCAGGCAAATGCCCGAGGAAGGGGCTTGGAGCCCCCATGCCCTCTGCAGGTGCACTGCCCTCCAGGCACCTCCCTTTGTTCAGCAATCCAGAAACCCTCCAATCTGCATCCAGGGGGCGTTCTGTGGAGACTTCAATATGTAGGCACAATGGGTTGCATTATTGGTCATTGGTGGTCACCTCCACCCACAGCCTCTTTCCTCTCCCTGGAGATCAGGGAGAGGACTGATAACCCCAGCCTCTTAGTCACAGATCAGTTCCCCTAGCAACCAGCCCCCACCCTGAGACTACCCAGGAGCCCACCACGAGCCACCTCATTAGAAAAAAAGATGCCCCTGCCACCCAGAAAATCTAAGGAACATGTACGCTCTGTGTCAGAACTGGGATCGCACTGAAGATTCTCCTAGCAGCCCCACCCACAAGGTGTTAGGAGCTCTGTGACAGGGACCAGGGAGGAAGACCAAATGTGTATTCCTTGTTATAGCAGAATGGCACACCTACGAGACCTGGTAGAAGCTAGCTTTTGCTGCTTCCCTGGGCAAATCACACACACTCCAAGCTCCCCCTGGCCCCCTCCCTGTGGTCAGACTCTCTGTGGAATCTGGTGGAACTCCTTAGCAGTAAAACAAAGCTGACCGTGATAAAGCTGGGGTAAGAGGGAGCCACAAACGTGAAAATCTCCGGTGACCATGGAAGAACACAGAAAATTTTCATTTTACGTGCAGATGAGGTCCTTGTGTCAGGAGACTCCAGAACGTGAGGTGTGCACAAATATATTTGGGTATAATCGAACTTCACCTTGGACCCATCCATAGGAGGTCGCCACGGTTGGAGACTCACACCAGGCACCTTGTCTATCCCACCAGAACCCGTGAACCTCTCCAGTGTAGGAAGAGGTGGCCCTTGCCTGGGCTGAGCACCAGCTGAAGTAGTTGGCTCCATGGTGTCTGCTGAATTGTCGGAGCCACCTCCAGGCTCTCGTAGAAAGAACAGAAGTGACATTCTCAGCCACTTTCATGGGTGCAGTGAGAACCTTGAGCTCTGTGTCAATCATTGCTTTTTTTTCTTTTTGATGAAGATACATTGTGTTTTTGCCATTAAGTTAAATTCATATGCAATGCAATCCACTGAATTTACTTCCATTATCGGTCTTGTAGTTATCTAAACAGCCATGTACAAAACCCTGCCGTGTACCTAAAATGTTTTCTTTCTCATTCTTAGCAGTAAGAAAATGCATGCTCTGAATTTCCATCCAGGGAAAATTGGACCTCTAAGCAGGGTTCAGGGTCCTGCCGCTCTGTCCTATTAGCAGGCTCAGAGTTGGCAGATATTAGCCCATCCTGCACAAGGAAAGGATCTCTCTTACAAACTGAAATGATTGTTTTCCTGGCCTGAAAATGCTCTTCAGGTTCCGGCATCATGGCACAGTAGATTAAGCCATCTCTCATGACACCGGCATCCCACATGAGCACCGGTTCAAGTCCTGGCTGCTCCATTTCCATTCCAGCTCCAACCTAATGCATCTGAAAAAGCAGCAGAACATGGTCCAAGTGCCTGGGCCCCTGTCATTCACATGCCAGACCAGGATGGGGCTCCTGGCTCCTGGCTTCAGCTTGGCCCAGTCACGCCCCCAGCCATTGTGGCCATTTGGGGAGTGAACAAACAGATAGAAGATCGATCAGTCTCTCTCTCTCTCTCCTCTCTCTCTGCCCCTCATCCCTCTCCCTCTCTTTCTACTATATGCTTTTCATAAAAATAAAAACTTTTTTTAAAAAAATGAAAATTTTTTTTTGACAGGCAGAGTGGACAGTGAGAGAGAGAGACAGAGAGAAAGGTCTTCCTTTGCCGTTGGTTCACCCTCCAATGGCCGCTGTGGCCGGCGCACCGCGCTGATCTGATGGCAGGAGCCAGGTGCTTCTCCTGGTCTCCCATGGGGTGCAGGGCCCAAGCACTTGGGCCATCCTCCACTGCACTCCCTGGCCACAGCAGAGAGCTGGCCTGGAAGAGGGGCAACCGGGACAGAATCCGGAGCCCCAACTGGGACTAGAACCCGGTGTGCCGGCGCCGCTAGGCGGAGGATTAGCTTAGTGAGCCGTGGCGCCAGCCCAAAATGAAGTATTTTCAATAGCACTATGATTGGAAGGAAGCATGTGAGGGGTATTCAAAAAATTCATAAAAATGCACTGTATGGAAGAGCTATGCATGGGATTTTTTTTTTTAATTGCACCAAAACAAACTGATGTTTTCATTCCATTTGCATGAACTTTTTGAAGTCTCCTCATGTTTATCAAAGCGGACATAAAGCAAGGACTTGGCCTTTTTACAAAACTTGTACAAGCAAATCCATCTCTCCTGTCCTCCCGGCTGAGGTAAGGCTTCCTGGGAATCGCAGAGCTGTGTTCTCAGAGAACTCTTGTGATTCCAGAATCAGGTCGGGAGGGCCTCTCTTTGCAAATTAAGTCGACGGAAAACAACTCAGAGACTAAATTGCCAGCAACAGTGGAAGGACTTTTGCTTTGGAAAGGATCTAAGCTCGTGGCACCCTGGTAAAGAAACCCGAGTAACCATGACAAGAGGTTCAACCTCACTGGTCACCAGGGAAGCAACAGTGAAGTCCTATATTTTTTTTTAATCGTCTGCCAAATTAAAACAATTTAAAAAGAAGGATAATGGCGAGGTTGGCCAGGATGTGAAAAACTGGATACTACACTGCTGGTGGTGGTGCGAATTAGGACAGTCTTTTAGGAAGTCAGTTTGCATGCACAGTCAACCCTCTGTTGCTGTGGGTTCTGAATCTGCGGATTCCACCAACAGTGGATCAAAATTTGGGGAGGAGGGGGTGGGAATGACATCTATCCTGAACAAGTACAAGTTTTTCTCATCATTATTCCTTAATCAATACATTATAACAACCATTTACACAGTATTTACATTACACTGGTATTATAAGTAATCTAGGCCGGCGCCGCAGCTCACTAGGCTAATCCTCTGCCTTGCGGCGCCGGCACACCAGGTTCTAGTCCCGGTCGGGGCGCCGGATTCTGTGCCGGTTGCCCCTCTTCCAGGCCAGCTCTCTGCTGTGGCCAGGGAGGGCAGTGGAGGATGGCCCAAGTGCTTGGGCCCTGCACCCCATGGGAGACCAGGATAAGCACCTGGCTCCTGCCATCGGATCAGCGCGGTGTGCCGGCCACAGTGCCCCAGCCGCGGCAGCCATTGGAGGGTGAACCAACGGCAAAGGGAAGACCTTTCTCTCTGTCTCTCTTTCTCACTGTCCACTCTGCCTGTCAAAAAAAATAAATAAATACGTAATCTAGAGCTGATTAAAGTGTCCAGGAGGGGCCCCCATGGCGGCACAGCAGGCTGAGTAGCTGCTTGCAATGCCAGCATTCTGTATTGTTGTACTAGTTCAAGTACCAACTGCTCCACTGCCCAGCCAGCTCCCTGCTAACGTGCCTGGAAAGGCAGCGAAGATGGCCCAAGTGCATGAGAGACCAAGATGGAGTTCCTGGCTCCTGGCTCCAGGCTGGCCCACACCTGCCTGGTGTGGGCATTTGGAAACTGAACCAGTGATGGAAGATCCTCTCTTCCTCTCTCTCTCTCTCTCTCTCTCTCTCTCTGTACATGCATGGGTGTGTGTCCAGGAGGATATGCAAAATTTACAGGCAAACACTATGCTAGTTCATATAAGGGATCTGAGCACCTGAAGATTTTGATATCTAAGTTATCAATTGATACTGATAGATTAATATCTATCAATTGATTTATTGATATCAATTGATATTGATAGATTGATATCTATCAATTGATATCAATCTCCCATGAATACCAAGGGATAATTGCCTACAGCTTGCACTCATCACGCACACACATACACACACAATAAGTGCATCATTTCTGAGTGATACTTGCAGGCTACCATGCAGAGAAAGCTTCCTGGAGGATTCTCACCATACTAACAGTGCTGCTAACCCTTGGGGAAGAGAATGAGACTCAGAAATGTGCACAAGGCATTTTGCTGCATCTGTGTCATTTTGCTTTCTGCATGTGCCCTGTGTACGAAATACCCAGGATGCATTTCTCAAAGGGGAGGCCAGGGCTTCGAGTTGAGAGTGTGTAGGCCTGCTGGTCCATTTCACCATTCGTTTAACCAGAGTCATCTCCATCGGATGGAGGAGGTGTCAAAAACCAAGCACAGGAGCTCAGCCCACTCTCTGCCCCTCTGTCTCACTCCCTCTCTGTTCCGTGCAGCCTCTGAGGAAGCCCAGGTCGGCGCTGAGCGCGGAAGACCGACTCACCCGCACCCATCCCAGAGGAGTTCCCGAGGATGGAATCCTTGACTTCAGACTGTGAGATCTTTTCCTCCAAGACTCTCCAGAGGCAGGTCCCTGGCAATCAAGAGCAAAGTCCCAAATTTAGGAAGCGTGAACAGCACACCTGGTTAGGCCAAAGCCATCAGTTTGTGGGGGAAACAAAACAAGAAGCAGACAAAAGCAGAAGACGAGGAGCGTGAAGCCCGTCTCACTGAGCAAAGTTTGCTGTGTTCACTTCTCTTCTCCAAAGACGAGCCTCAGGAAATCTCCCTACTTTGAACGGGTGGTGCGGAGTGGTGCCCAGACTCGGGGAGGGTGGGAGCTTTCTAGAAGAGCAGCGGATGCTGGAGTTTACAAGGTCAAGTACAAAGCATGTTTAAAGTTGCCTAATGTCATTGAACCTGTGCCTTTGGTTTCCTTTCATCCTGCCCTGTTGTAGTAACTCCTCCATCATCCTACCTACCGAGAGCTCACCCATTGAATGGTCCAAGGCTCACAGGAAGAGGCGTCCTGGCTTTTTGCCGCCTAGTACCTGCCCTTCCCCCTCTTCCCCCCCAGCCAACCCCTTGCTTGCACTACCCTGGGTCAAGCTGAGCACAACTGTGCCCTTGTCTCCAACAGCCTCTGAGAATGTACCTGGCTGTCACTTCGAGCCGTCACATTCAGTCCCTGCTCTGTCCCAGCCTGGGGAATAAACTGAACGTGTTTACAGAACGCACTCTAAGTCTCGGACGACATCTTGGATTGCTCTCCTGGATGCCACCTGGAAATGCTGCCCCTTTCTTTCCTGTAAAATATAAACCCGTGGGTGTGAGAGTGCTAGTTGAAGGGCAGCTGTATTCTGCCTGCCAGGAAACACTGGCATTGACCTGCCCCCGGTGGTGCACATGATCGCGTTTAAGGAGCGCAGGGTCAGGAAGATAGGTCATTTCCCCTCTTCTTTTTCAGTCCTGACCACAGCAAGGAGAAAGTCTCTGTTTAGCGCTCCTGGGTCCTGAACACCTTTCTCCACAAAGACAGAGCAAGCCTCAGGGTCAGCGTCCTGTGTCTACGTAGAATAGAATGATATTGCTTTTACACTGTTCATTGTATTTCTTACTTGCCTCTTACAGTATTTCCACAAATGGATTTGACATATCATTTTCATTCAAATACATTTACTTAGAAAAGTAAATGGACTCAAAGAAAAATGCCAATTAAAACAGCAGGTGTTGTGTACAGCAAAGATCACTTCAAGAACTAATGTTAGAAACACAGTGATAATGAACTTTCATAAGCACCAAAAAAAAAAAAAAAGGCAGCTTATTCTAATCGAATTAACCAGAGGCTGAGAGTCAAAACACCTGTTTCAATGACTTTTTTTGCCACTAACTCGTTAGGCAAGCCGATTTTAAGCAACTTTCTCAACCTCTCTGTGCCTCCGACTTCTTCACGTGGAAATGAGAGCTCAGAACACCTGCCTACTTACCTCACAGTGTTGTTAGAGAAATGCCTTGCTATGATAGAGGCAAACGCCCCGGGGGGAGATTCTAAGGTCTGTACAAATACAAAGCGTTGGTATTAGAGTTGTGAATCTCAGGCGCTTGTTAAAACACTAGACCCTTGCAAAAAATAAAAGTTGATGGGTAGCATATTCCACCTGTCATTTCACCTCTGTGTCCATCATAAGCCAGCAATCATCCCAGGAGGACACTGGATCAGGGACACAGATTTTTTTTAAGATTGTGTTTATTTGAGAGTTTGAGTTACAGACAGAGAGGGAGAGACAGAGACAAAGGTCCTCCATCTGCTGGTTCACTCCCCAAACAGCCAGAACAGCCAGCGCTGAGCCAATCCGAAGCCAGGAGCCAGGAGCCTCCTCTGGGTCCCCCACACAGGTGCAGGGACCCAAGCGCTCAGGCCATGTTCTGCTTTCCCAGGCCATAGCAGAAAGCTGGATCAGAAGAGGAGCAGCCGGGATTGGAAGCAGTGCCTGTATGGGTACCAGCGCCACAGGCGGAGGATTAACCTACTGCGCCACAGTGCCGGCCCAGGGACATGGATTCTTACACTGTACACTGAGATGCTAGTGGCATCCCAGTGAATGGGATCCTGATATCTGTTTCTGACATTTTTTCCACTTGTGTGTGTCTGGATCCCTGGTCTTTTACCCGAATCAAATGAAAAGTGTTGCTGAAAGGTGGAATAAAGGCAGCTTTAAGTGAGCCTATTTACACTGGTGAACTGTGTTTTTCTGCCTTCTGGAGACTTCTATGCCCAAAACATTCTCACCTCTCCAAGCCTGAGTTCGACGGAGAGGCCGACGGTGTGGCTAGAAGGCATCCACCTTGAGATAATTTATGCCCTAATTAGTGCTACCTTGGGGCGCTAACAACACCGCTGCCAGAGTCGGCATTGTGGCATGACAGGCGAAGCCTCTACCTGTGACACTGGCACTTTGTTTGGAGCAATGGTTTGAGTCCCAGCTGTTGCACTTTCAATCCAGCTCCCTGATAATGCACCTGGGAAAGCAGCAGAAGGTGGCCCAAGTGCTTGGGCCCCTGCACCCATAGGAGAGACCTGGATGGAGCTCCTGGCTCCTGACTTTGGCCTGGCCTAGCCCCAGCCATTGCAACCATTTGGGGAGTGAACCAGCAGATGGAAAGTCTTTCTCTTTCTCTTTCTCTCTTTCTGTATCTCTCTCTCTCTCTCTCTGTATCTCTATCTCTATCTCTTTCTCTCCCCCTCTCTGTCACTCTGCCTTTCAAATGAATAAAATAAATCTTTTTTTAAAACGGGTCCCATTAAAGTCAAAATAAAATAAGAAAAAGTCTGTCACTGCATGAGATTTCCGGGACCCAGGGGACTGTAAGTTTGGTTGGCCTCCAGGACTCTAACCTCGAAGATCGACCAAGTTGGATGGTTGGTCTTACTTTTCCTGCCAAGTTGAGACTGACCTGGTGTATCAGCCAAGAGACTTATCAGTCAATGACAAAAGCCAGTTACAGCAAACAGCAGTGTTTACAGCCTACATAACTGAGAATCCCAGGGGTAGCTTCAGGTGTGGATGGAGCTTGGTGCTCCGCATCATTGGGAACGCATCTCATGGTGACAGGTTGACTGACCACAGCTCCAGGCTTCTTCCTACCAGCCTAGCAATATTGCCAAAATAAATGGGTCTATTCAAAATCAAGCACAAGTGACCGGAAGCAGGAAGCAGCCCATCGGGATGGATACCGGCCACTGACAAGTAGGTGCACAACATAAATCCATACTGTGGCCAGGGGTGTGTGTCACCTCTTTGGGCCAGACCTGAAATCAGGATTCAACTGCTGGAGCTGAGGGTGAAGTCAGCCCCACCCAACCTTGATGGACGGAGGGTGTGGGAAGGGTAGCTCCCCAAAGGCAAGTCCAAGTGCTTTTACCAGAAGGAGAGACAGACCCTGGGCAGAGCAAAGAACCATTTGGCCACGTTAAGTGCATTGCTTCTTCCTATGCCTTCCACTCCCAGGGCCAAGGCGATCTAATAGCTTTTCAAACAATTTCCTCCTTGTGTAGTCATTCCCATCCATTTCCTCCTCTGACCAATATTAACGGAGCACCTGTTCAACCCCAGAAACTGAGCTAGGCTTTGGAAACTCCAATATGATTAAGAAAGAGCCCTGGGAAGGTTGCTTATAGCCTAATGGGGGGAACAGGCACATACACGATTAGAAGGAAATGTGCGAGTGTCCAGACACAGGCACAGACAAAATGCGATGCCGTCGCTTTGTGTAGATGAAAGGTTCAGGCAGCCAACCTCCCTCCTGTCCCACTGCTCCGGCGTCGCAAAGGCCGATACGACTGTAGCTCTTGCCGCTGCCCTGCCTTTGCCCACAAGTTATGGGCAGAAGCAGATGCAGACATAAAAAATCGCTGGCCTCAGCTCCTGGATCAGCAAATTATCTTTGGCCTACAGCGGGACAGCTGCATTCAGCAAAACAGCACCACGCATGTATCCTGATACGTAACCCTAGATCCAAGGTTCTAAATATAAGAGACAGTTTTGGGCCACTGATTAAAAAAAAAACTAAGGTAGTTTTCACATTCATGGGTTCCCAGCAAGCCTTTAAAAACTACTTACGGATGTTGAATATTTATGCCTGAATATTTAGGCTTGAGTTCTCTAAAAATAGGTCACTAGACCCAGACACTCTGAATCCTGGTTTGGACAAACACAAAAAAAAAAGGCTTAGAGACCACTCGGGCACCACCCGTCCTTGCTGGAGAAGGCCCAGAAAGCAGAAATGCACTTGCCAGAGAGGTGCACTCGTTTGCTTATTCATTCGCTCACTGCCATAGAGATTGACCCTCAGGAGGCAGCAGGAAGGCAGAGCTGCCTGTGTGCATTGCTTGTATGCAGCGTGCGAGTTTGCCACCTGTGTACCTGTTCCAACTCTTGGGTGAGCACCCGATGGAACCTACAATGGTCTCGTCACCACGCTCATCTCCCTGCCTGTCTCAACGCAGGCTTTCCCATCGCCCACTCACACACGGCTTCACTAAAACCTCATTTCATTTTCCCAAGCTGCCTGCTCCTGGCACTGCCACCAAGTTTTTCTCCCCACAAGTGACACAGAATCCCATTAATAGGGACCAGTTGTGCTTGGGAAATACTGTACCAACAGTTGGCCCTTGGTGTCTTTGGGGTGCAAGAATTCAATCAACTGTGGGCTGAAACTCCAGAGTGTATTGAACACGCACAGATTTTTTTTTTTTTGCTGTGTCATTATTGCTTATCACCATCGCTTTGTCTTGTACAACAATACAGTATAGCAACTGTTTACACAGCATTACATTACATTAGGTAATATAAGTCTTCTAGAGACACATAAAGCATGTGGAAAGATGTACGTGAGTTATACGCAGATACTACGCCATTTTATGTGAGGTTTATATTGCATTAGGCTTAAGTCATCTAGACATGATTTAAAGCATGTGTGGGGATTCTACGCAAATACTACGCTGCAGGGGCCGGCGCTGAGGAGCAGCAGGTTAAACCTCCACTGCCTGCAGTGCTGGCATCCCATATGGGCGCCAGTTCGAGTCCCAGCTGCTCCACTTTCAATCCAGCTCCCTACTGTGGCCTGGAAAAGCAGCAGAAGATGGTCCAAGAGCTTGGGCCCCTGCAGCCACGTGGGAGACCTGGAAGAAGCTCCTGATTTCAGATCTGCCCATCTCTAGCCATTAAGGCCATTTGGGGAGTGAACCAGCAGATAGGAAATATCTTTCTCTCATCTCTCTCTCTCTCTCTCTCTGCCTTTAAATAATAAATATATAACTCTTTAAAAAGAATACTATAGGGGCCGGCACTGTGGTGCAGTGGGTTAACACCCTGGCCTGAAGCGCTGGCATCCCATATGGGCACCAGTTCGAGACCTGGCTGTTCCACTTGCGATCCAGCTCTCTGCTATGGCCTGGGAAAGCAGTAGAAGATGGCCCAAGTCCTTGGGCCCCTGCACCCGCGTGGGAGACCGGAGGAGGCTCCTGGCTCCTGGCTTCGGATCGGCGCAGCTCTGGCCATTGCGGCCATTTGGGGAGTGAACCATCATATGGAAGACCTCTCTCTCTCTCTCTCTCTCTGCCTCTCCTCTCTCTGTGTAACTCTGACTTTCAGATAATAAAAATAAATCTTTTTAAAAAAGAAAAGAATACTATGCTGCTTTATCCACAGGACTTTGGCATCCTCAGGGGATCCTGGAACCAATTCCTTGTGGGTACTAGGGGACAACTCTATCAGGGACCTTGTGGAAAACCACATCCTCTTATGACCGGCATGCAAGTGGACCTACCACAAATCGCACACCCAGGAGGGAACGTAAGTAGTTCTTGAGCCATTATCAAAGTTCATCCAAACGATCACAGTAAGCTGATAGGGCTCCCTGTCTCCATTTCTGAGGGGTGGTGTTGCAAATACTACAAACGTTGCGAGTTAAAAGAACCCCAACTTGTATCTTACACTTCTGGAGAGCCGAAGTCTGTGCTGCGTCTCCCGGGGCGGAAATCAAGATGGAGGCAGGACTGGACTCCCTCCTGGAGGCTCTCAGGAATCATCACCTCCACCCCCACTCCCCCGCTCACAGCCCCGTTCCATCTTCAAAGCCAGCAATGACCGCTGGACTCTTTCTTAGACTGCGTCTCCCTTTGCCTCCCTCTTTCCCGTTTAAGAACCCTGGTCATCACATGGCGTCCACACAAACAATCCAAGACAAATCTCCGTATTTTCAGGTCAGCTGATTAATCACTCAACTCCTTCCACTGCCTCAGGTCCTCCTTGCCAAGTGACCTCACATAGCCCAGGTTCCAGTCATCAGGACTTACCCGTGCATATCCAGTGGAGGTGTTTAATGGACACACGGTTATTCTGCCTACCACACCCCATTTTTGCATCCCTACAACACACAACACAGAAGCCAGGGTGATCTCGAAACTGAATTAGAAACACAGCATTTCTCCCCTAAACCCTACCCACACACACCCAGCGACCTTCTATGCACCTAAGACCCAGACTTTTCAGCACGGCCCACAAAGTCCTGCGTGGTCAGCCCCAGGGCTGCCCCTCAGATCTCAACTCCTACCACTCCCGCACCCCACTAGGCTGCAGCCACACGCTGGCCCTCTAGTTCTCCCAGACATACCCAGATCATTCCTGGCCCAGGGCCAGTGTCCACGCCATCTCCTCTGCCCGCACAGCTCCCTAGGCCTCCCCAGCCCTGGCTTTGCTTCAGACCCCTGATTTCAGCTTCTCAGAGAAGGCTGACCTGACCCCCTAACTGTGGCAGCCACCTCCTCCCTAGCCACCTGCTATCGCATCACCCTGTGTTAGTTCCTCCATGGGACTTACGACTATTTCCATTATTTTCTTGTGTGTTTAACCACTTATTTATATATTCTCTTTATCGTTCGTCTCCTGTCTCCTGTTGCTAGGGTGCTGGCATCCCGAGGTGCAGATGTCTCCCCAGCACCTCGAAGAGGGCACAGCACACAGCAGTCTCCGTACATATTTGCTGAATGACTGAAAACCTCTCCCACGTGTCCCTTCCACAGTTCATGCCCATTCCTTTGCCTCAGCTTAAAGGCCCCCTTTTGGCTAATGTCAAGTCCTCGTTCAGGGACGCCTTCTCTGACATGCAAACTCCTCTCGAACACGAGTCGCCCTCTGGCATGTTCACACAGTCCTGCAGTATTTCTTGGAAGTCTTAGCATCATCTTACAGTTATGCCTATGTGGTTTCCAATTCATGTCTGTCTGTCCCAGCACATCGCGAGTCCCTAGGAAGGCAGTGGCCACATTTGTCTTATTCACCTCTGTATTCCTGGAGTTTTGGTTGGTCCCTGGTACATGGAAAGTTTTCCATGATTAATGAGTATATGGATGGGTGGATGGATGGAAGGATGGATGGACTGACGGATGGATGGATGAACGCATGGAAGAATAGATGGACAGACAGATGGACAGATGTATAAGGGTATACAGGTGGGGATAAATGGAGGGGAGAACTGAGCCAAAGTTTGCTCCATCATCTTGGTTTTTTTCCCCCTTGCTATTCAATAGATTGAAACTTGAATTTTAAAGTAAAATGAAACAAACCAAAGTATTGACTGAAAATCCTGTCCTAAAACATTCTCACTTAATCCTTTATCACACATCAAGAGGGTTTAGACAAAGGAAGAGATAAAAATCCACCTGCAATTTGTTTCAAAAAGAAATGGACTCAAAGGAACATCAGTGAGCATGGAGAGCCTGTCCCCAAGACCTCCTTTGAGGCTGGGATGCCCCCTAGTGGGAGCGACGGAGAAGAGCACTCAGGGTATTCCTTTGATGAACTGCACCTTTCTTTTGCTTTATGCGTTTGCATAAGGAGGTCCAGAAACACACCAGAGGGAGACTGCACACTTTGCCAAAAAAAGAAAAGTAGAAGCCTAAGTTTCCAGGGTAACCACATTTCCACAAAACAGAAACTGAACTGATGAGTTTTAAGAGCCTACCCGCCAGGCGATGTTCTAAACACATTGTGCCATATTATCATAGTTAACTCTCACAAGAAGCAGCTGCAGAAGGTACCTGTATCGCCCACTTTTGGTAATAGAGTAAACTGAGTCATGGAAAGATTAGGTAACCTGACCCAGGGCCCAGAGCTGGAAAGTGGTGGAGCTAGAATTTGAGGCTGGGTAAGCTAGCTCCCGGGTCTCAGGTTCTAACCATGACAGTTCTGGCCAGTGGTCACTGAAGTACAGTCTGCTGCTCTTTGAAATTGTTTATTTTCATTATTTGAAAGGCAGAGAGAGAAAGAGATCTTCCATCCACTGGTTCACTCCACCAAATGCTTCTAACTAATAAGGGCTGGACCAGGCTGAAGCCAGGAGCCAGGAACTCTACCCAGGACTCCCATGTTGGTGTCAGGGACGGCATCACCTGCTGCCTCCCAGGGTGCACATTAGCAGGAAGCTGGATCAGAAGCAGAGGAGCCAGAACTCGAACCAGGTACTCGAATATGGAATGTGGGTGTCCCAAGTGGCAACTTCAGCCATTGTTGCTTTTGAGCTAGAGTTTTGGTTGATTTGTGGGTAGTTTTCAGGCAGACTCTAAGACTCAGGATTTCTCAAAAGTGATGATAGAAATAATTATTCACATCTGTATCCCTTACCTACCCGAGGTACCTAAGACCATCAAATCCCTGGTGACTGTGTAAGAGACTGGCTCAGTGGGGTTTGTTCTTCAATGTCTATGTCCTGCGATTTTCAACTTGGCTCTTTTGTCCCAAGGAAGTTGCTTCACACACACACACACACACACACACACACACTGGGCAACCACATCACAGTTTGCTGTCTGCCAGGCATTGTGCTCAACCCTAACATGTACTCTCACTTGATGAACAACCTTAGATACAAACACTGTCACCCCTCAGTAGCCACAGGACATTTGTTCCAGGCGCCCTCTCAGATACAAAATCCGTACATACAGAAAACAGCCTAGCATGAGGGTACTTCACAAAGTTCATGGACCAGGGAATCAAAACATAAGTTTAACTTGGTGCCAAAAAGAAAGTTGAAATTCATGCATACATGGGATCTTCAAAACGTTCACAAAAAGCATATTATTGAAAAACTAAAAGCATAGATTTTCAATTTTTCTGCTCCAAAGTACAATGTTCAATTTCACTTGTGCACCTGGCTGCTGTACTGTATTGTTTAGGGAATAATGACAAGAAGAAAAGTCCGGATGTGTCGAGCACAGACATAAATCTTTCCCAAATATCTCTGGACCAGAGGTGGTTGACTGCTGAGATACAGAACCCAAGGATAGCAAGGTCCACCTGTGCTGCTATTCGCTCCTCTCTGTCTCAGAAAAAACCGAGGGGCCGAGGGGCTAAATAACTGATCCGAGACCACAGTGTTAGGATTTAAGCCCAGTCCGTCTGATTACAAAACCCTCCCTCCCATAAACCATAAGCTTACTCTCATACTTCAGTCTACAACTAAGCAAAATTCACACAACTACTTTTGACACATAACAGAATAGAATGACTTAATTGCCTATTACCCGTGTTCCCTAATTAGTTACAAGCTTAACATAAACGTGTGTGGGCTGCTCTTTTGGGACAGATTTGCATTAATTACAACACATTTTCTGTTTGCAATCTTAGATATTTCAGAAGCTCTGAGGTCTCACCCCTGTGCCTAAAATAGTTTTTCAATGTACAATAATTTATATCCACAGGAAAGGAAAAAAAGCCTGCATTCTTACCATTTAAAAATACAATCTCGGGGTTAGCATTGTGGCAAAGCAGGTAATGCCTTCGCCTGCGACACTGGCATCCCATATCAGTGCCAGTTTGTGTCCCAGCAGCTCCACTTCCAATCCAGCTCCCAGCTAATGCACCCGGGAAAGCAGTGGAAGATTGCCCAAGTGTTTGGGCCTCTGCACCCAAGTGGGAGACCCAGATGAAGCTCCTAGCTCTTGGTTTCAGCCTGGCCCAGCCCTGGCCATTGCAGCCACCTGGGAAGTGAACCAGTGGATGGAGGATCTCTCTCTCTCTGTCTCTCCTTCTCTCTATATAACTCTGACTTTCAAAATAAATAAATAAATCTTTTTTAAAATACAAGCTCATCTTGATTCGTTATTTTTTAAAATTTTAGCATAGTTTATTATTTAAATTGTACCTGTTTTGGGGATACAATGTGATCATTCAATCCATGTGTTCAACGTGTGGCGATCAGAGGGACTAACACTTCCCTTTCTTTATCATTACTTTGTGTTGACAGCTGGTGTGTTCCTCACTTCTACTGATTCATAAAATAGACAGCAGGTGGTTGTGAAGAGCGGCAGCTTTTGGGTGCCTTTGTTTGCAAGCAGCAGAAAATCCAACTGAAACAATAGGCGAGAAATCACTGGCAGGGGAGACAGCCTTCAAGGCTTTGCCCCAGCACATCACAAAGGCAGTAGGTTACAGCCTCCATGTCTCTCTTGTTGGCTCAGCTCTCCTTCTTTGTGTTAATTCCTCAAACTAACTTCCCTCACCGGAGAAAAGCCTCAGGCTGCAAAATGTCCTGGCAGTAAGGAGGTCTCTCTCTTCCTCAGACCTCCAGGAAAAGCCCCAATCAGCATTCCCATTGTAACTTCTAGGTCATAGGACCAGGCTAAACCTGGTGGCGTGGACTCGAGTCACACGCACAGCCCTGAAACAGCTGCTGTAGCTGGAGGGGTGGCAACACCCAGTCAAGACCTGTCTCAGTAAGAGCTGCTCAGGGAACAGTAGCACTCGGTAATTTTTCTAAATTTCTACATACTTATTTGAAAGGCAGAGAAACAGAGAGATTCTCCTTTGCTGGTTCACTCTGTTGGGAAACTGGTGCAACTTTGTCTATGAACACGTGGCTCTCTTGGCTTCTCTATTCTCTCCTGCTCACTCTCTCTAGCCTCCTCTCCTCTCTCCTCTTTCTCTCTTACTCTCCCTCTCCCTCTTCACCCCTTCCCTCTGGTCTGCTGGGTTTTCCCCAATAAACCCTCTCCCTTCCTCCGGTGTTCGGTGTGTTTTGGGATGGCTAACATTGGTGCATTGGCCGGGAAAGCCTTACAATGGTAATCCAGCGTTCCCCAGTGCTCTGGGGTCCTGGGTCACCCCCCCGCCCCGGAACTCCTTCCACGCCACCGAACGCTCTGCAATCTCCATCCACACACATCGGCCTTCCAAATTCTGAGGTTAAGACGCAGAACGGGAAATTTTCACAGCGACTCTTTGAGTTGTGGTCTACTCTCGTAAAAGTCGTAGTACTAGACACCACAACTCCTACTTAAGGCCTTTAGTCTCTACGGACACTGTGTCCAGGCAACAGTGGGTTGAGTGACGACTCAATCTCTGTTCCCCTTTTACAGGCTAGGCCCTGGGCTCCAGTGGGTGCTTGGGTGACAACCCCGCCTTCTGCTCCCATATCCTTTCATTAGTCAGACTGCCAGGATTCAAGGATGCTTGCAATCCACAGATCTGATTCTACAGGTCGCAATGGGAACTTTTTTCTAACCACGTTTTGTCCGCCCTCTCAAATTGGCTCCAGCCCTCAAACACCAATACCTCATCTTTAAAGTGGCCCCTCCAGGGTGGCGCGTTTGGCCCTGAGGGATTGGCCCAAAGTCGGAGTGGTTCAAGATCTTTATCACTTCTGTGAGCGTTCCGGAAAATGGAAGGAGATCCCATATGTTCAAGTTTTTCTTTGATCTAAACCTTCTATGTGTACTGCTGTCTGGTCCAGGTCCTATCCGCCTCCAAAGTTTCCACTACAGGTCAAGGGCCTAAGCCAAAACCTCTGCCTTCCATGTTTGCGGCCCCAACTTTTCACCATCTCAGCTCACTATACCTCCCCCTCCCACCCAGGAATTCAGACTTTATCTTAGAACCAGGCCTGGCCCAAAGTCTACTCTCCTGGTCCAAAGTTTATTCTCTGTCTTATCAGTTTGGGAATGAGTGTCTCCATGCTTTCACTCTCCAGCCCTCGTCCTCCAACTGGTCTTTTGTCCCACTCTTGTTCCAGTTTTACCATAAGAATAGCAAGGGAGTGGTAATCCCATCCTTTTGGGCTCCCTTTTTATTGAGAAAAAAATTAGGTATCCCACCCTTCTGATGGCTCTTGTTTTATCATGAGCAAGCCAGACAGGAAAATCAGGTTTCCTGCATGGATTTGGCCCACTATAACTAATTTTTCTTTGAATTGAGGAAGATCACTACCTTTGAAAATATTGCTTTGTAACTTGCTGAACTTATTTTGCAATTTATTTTAACAGGTTTCCGGGTAATCAGTACTCAATTAAACAGCAATGGGTAATTAGTACTTGTTTTAGAAGAATGCAATTTTAACTGTAATCAAATTCAAATAGATAGGCCGGTGCTGTGGCTCACTAGGCTAATCCTCTGCCTGCGGCACCAGCACCCCAGGTTCTAGTCCCCGTTGGGGTGCCAGATTCCATCCTGGTTGCTCCTCTTCCAGTCCAGCTCTCTGCTGTGGCCTGGGAGTGCAGTGGAGCATGGCACAGGTCCTTGGGCCCTGCACCCACATGGGAGACCAGGAGGAAGCACCTGGCTCCTGGCTTCAGATCGGCACAGCACACCATGGCAGCCACTTGGGGGGTGAACCAACAGCAAAAGGAAGATGTTTCTCTCTCTCTCTCTCTCTCACTGTCTAACTCTGCCTGTCAAAAAATAAATAAATAAAATTCAAATAGATATAATATCACATCCTAAGTCATTTAGGTGTAACTGCTAATTTAAATTGGGTAAAGGCAAATGAGATAAATGCAAACTAAATGTAAACTTTTGTATACTCAGCATGTTACAATCTATAAAAAAACTATTTGGGTTAGTTTATAAACTGTCTATGAAAATAGTTCAACATTGCTTAGAGTAACTCAGGCTGAAA